CCCAACCACAGACACCAGCACAAAAATATAATCATGAATAGCCAAGACAATATGTCTTCACCAGAACCCAGTAACCATGCTACAACAGATCCTGAAAATGCAATACAACTGAACCATGGACAATAGCATCAGAAATAGATAATATGAACTTGATGAAGGATCCTAAAGAGGATATGAAAAACTCATCTCATGAAGTATTTGAAATGATAACAAGCAGTGGAATAACATGAAGAAAAACTTCAAGACATGCAAGAAGAAAGAAAATTACTAAGGAAAACACAAACTGAAATAAAACTGGAAATGTAGAACTTAAAAAGTCAAGCCAAAATCTCAAAGATAAGCTTCAAGAAAGCACAAAACATAGAAGAGGGAATCTCAGGTATTACATCAAAGTAAACGAAAAGGACACCTTGAGGGGAAGTATCCTTTATGATAGCACGTGTAAATTATGGATTCTGATTCCATCATAAAGTGTGCATCCATGCAGAAGGCCGTGCTATCCATACCCAGGACACCAATAACCTCTGTAGCTCTGACTGACTGAGAACTCACTATGTAGCCCATCCTACTCACGGACAGAGATAAATCTCTGCTAGATCCAAACGGCATGGAGAAAAACTAAACTGGGGAATGCTGGAGTTAAATAATGCCATAAATCCATCTTCCCTGTGCTGTTTAAGGATGCAGTGCAGACGCCTGGGCTGAGGATGTAGACCTCCGTGTGAATTTGGCCATGAATGTTGGCAAGGCCCGAGGCTTCTTCAAGAAGGGAGATGTGGTCATTGTGCTGATTGGGTGGGGTCCTGGCTCTGGCTTCACCAACACCATGTATGTAGTGCCTGTGTCTTGATGGCCCTCTGGAGCCCATCTTCTAGCCCCTGTCCCATCCCCTCCCCCATCCCATCCATTAGGCCAGCAACGCTTGTAGTGCTCACTCTGGGCCAGAGTGTGGCGCTGGTGAGCTGGGACACCTGGGAAAATTACTGTCACCGAAACATGGAATAGAGCCCAGCTGTCTACCCAAGCCAGGGGTAACAGAGGAATGCAGAATTGGAAACCCTCTAGCTTTATCACAAAGGGGCAGCAACATCTCTGTGTACTTTGCTCCTGTAGAAAGTTGCCCAGAGAACTCCCAGCCATGGCCTGGAGTCAGGAGACAGCAAGAGTAGGGGCTTAAGGCATGGGGCCCAGGTTCCTGTGTAGATAATTACCTCTGGCCCCCAGGCCGGACTTTTCTTCCCCAACAGCTTTGGCCTCCCCCACTGCTCCTTGTGCACTTCTCAGCTGTCACTGCAGTCACACCCTGCACTCGCCAATTCCATTCTACTGTGCAGCATCTCCAGGCTGTTGCTATAGAGCCCACCTGAGTGTCAATAAACAGCAGCTGAACCAAATAATAATAATAATAATAATAATAATAATAATAACAATGCCATAAATCAAATGGAACTAGCAGATGTCTACAGATTATTTCATCCAAACACTAAAGAACATATTTTCTGCTAGAATCTCAGGGATCATTCTCCAAAATTGATAGCATACTAGGCCATAGGAAAAGTCTCAAAAAATATTAGAAAATTGAAATAAAATCCTGTATTATATTTGACCACCATGGCTTTAACTGGCTATCAACAACAGCATAAATACAAAATCATGAAAACTGAAAAACTCAGTACAGAATGAAAGATGGGTCAAAACCAAAATCAACTTAACACTAAAATATTTTTGAATTGAATGAAAATGAAAACACACCATATCCAAAACTATGGGACACAATTTAGGGAATTTGAAGGGACAAGATCACAGCACTAAGTGCCTACATAAAAAAAAAAGAGTTCTCATATTTGAACTTAGAAGAACAATATGAAATCTCTAGAAAAAGGTTAATTAATACCCCAAAAGAATAAATGGAAAGAAGTAAACTGAGGACTTAAATCACTGAACTGGAAACAACAAAAATAATTACAAAAATAAACAATAAACAGAGTTGGTTCTTGAAGCCTGAAGAAAATCAACAAGATTGAAGAATTACAAAGCCTTTTCAAAATCATCTAAGACGGCCGGGCGGTGGTGGCGCACGCCTTTCATCCCAGCACTCGGGAGGCAGAGGCAGGCGGATCTCTGTGAGTTCGAGGCCAGCCTGGTCTACAAAGGGAGTTCCAGGACAGGCTCCAAAGCTACAGAGAAACCCTGTCTCAAAAAAACAAACAAAAAAAAAACACAAAAAACAAAATCATAAAAGACAAAGATAGAAAATTTGGGATAACTCTAACCAAGAAAGTGAAAGACTTGTATAATAAAAACTGGCAATTAATGGAAAATTAAAGAGGAAATCAGAAGATGCAGTAATCTCCCATGCTCATTGATCAGTAGGATTAATGTTGTAAAATGGCTATTCCACCAATAGCAATTATTAATAAAAATAATAAATCAACAATGTTGTATATATTCTGAATTTTTTTGTTTCCATACAAAGTTGGAGATTTTTATTTCAATTTCTGTGAAGAATTGTGTTAGAATTTTGATGGCGATTGTGTTGAATATATAATATACACTGGAGAAAAGACAGAATCTTCAACAAATGGTGCCAATATAACTGAATGCTTGCATGGATCAAGGACATAAATACAAGATCTGAAATTCTGAATCTGACAGAAGAGAAAGTGGAGAAATAGTTTTGAAGTCATTGGCACGGAGGAAGACTTTCTGAACAGAACACTGATAGCAGAGGCATTAAGACCAATGATTAATAAATGGGACCTCATGAAGCTGAGAGATTTCTATATGGTAAAGGACATTATCATTTGGACAAAGCAGCAGCCTATAGAGTGGGAAATTTCTCTATCAATTAGACATCTGATGGATGATTAATATCTAAAATATATAAATTAAAAGCTGAATATCAAATAAACAAATAATTCAATTCAAACTTGGGATAGAGAACTAAGCACAGAACCCTCAAGAAAATGAAACAGAAATGGCTGAGAAACCTTTAAAGACATGATCAACATCTTTAGCCACCAGGGAAAGGCAAACTAAAAGTACTTTGAGATTGCATCTTATACCAGCCAGAATGGCCAATATCAATAAAATAGAGCATGTGCTGTCAATGATGTAGAGAAAAGGTGACACTTATTTATTGCTGGTGGGAGTAAACCTTCTCTAGCCACTGTGGTTCCCAAGGAAGCTAGAAACCAATCTACTTCAAGATCTAGCTGAGCCATTCTTGTGTATATATCCCATATATGAAAATATTTGCTGATTTATGTTTAATGCTGCTCTATTCATGGTAGCTAGAAACAGGTAACAGCCTAGATGTCCACCAACTGATGAATGGATAGTGAAAATGTGATACATTTAGACAATGGAATATTATTCAACTATTAAAAATCATAAATTTTTCAGGTAAATGCATAGAGCTAGAAAACATCGTCTCAACTGAGGTAACATAGATCCTAAAAGACATCGTATGATTTCTCTCATATGTAGATGTAAGCTTTTAAGCTTTCAATATATGTGTTATTTGCACAGAGGTTGAATACCAAGTAAAGGACTGGGGGAAGGAGAGACTCCCCGAAGGAATAAAAGATAGAATATGTTGTTGTGGAGAGACAGGGATACTAGGAGAATTAAAATGGGAGGAGATGGGAGAAAAGGGTAAAGGAGGGACTATGGGGAGGACAACTAACACTAAAGGACGTTTGAGAAATTAACGTGGAAACCTACTACTGTAGAAGATTCCTAAAACACATGCTTGTTTGAAAGGGATCTAAATGGAGTTACCAAATAACTGCGTTGACAACTGGACATCTTATGCCACCAAGTAAAACCTCCAGTGCCAGAAATGGGTGATACTTTACTGAGATTTTGGCCAAAGAGGCCCCACGGAAACCCCCAAATATATTAGGTAATTTCCAATGCCAGTGATTACTTTCCATAAACTGATAGGAAGGCTCTATTGCTGAAAATAACATTCACTTTTATCATTCAATATGGAATAGCTGAGTTAGTGCCTAATTAGAAATTTTGCCTTTATTGATTAGCCGTCATGGTAGTAGAAGCTATTCTGCTTGATACCAAAAGATAAAGGTAATCAGCAATATTACCAAACTAAACCTGTGACTTACAACAGCAAGACATTCTAGTTTAATAGAGGCACAAATGTTATGGGAGCAACCAGCCACTTTGTGATTCCATGAGATAAAGCTCAGACCTACACTGACAAAGTGGCTTAGAACCCCAAACTGATATGTCACGGTCTTGGGGGATGCCTGCTATTATTATTCTGATAAAGGGACATAGCAATAAAATGTCTCTTAATAGCACCTTGCCCAATCCACATCAGAGAAGCTTCTTCTGCTAGTAGATGGGAAACCCCCAAGTGCACAATGTGTAGAAAGTGACAGACATTGGGGCATTGAGTCCTAAATGGGATGTTTTGATTGAACCCCTCCCCACAAGGCTCAGGGAGGTATGAGGAGAGAAGGCAGAAAACCTGTAGGAGCCAGAGGTGATGCATGACTCCAAGGAAAGAGTGACTTCCAGGCACAGAAGGACTGATGTACATATGAACTCATGTAGACTGTGGCAGCAAATACAAGATTTGCACAGGTTCAATCCTGTAGTCCTAGGACTGCGAGGGGAAAGTGTTGATATAATTCTTTGAAACTTTCATATATGCATATAACATATTTTGGACATATCCACCCACACCAACCCTCTCAACTTTATATATATATATATATATATATATATATATATATATATATATATATAATTCACTGGGTTCAATTTCTGCTGCCAGTATAGGGACTGGAGTTGGGCATCCACTGAGACATGGTTGACCAAATGGGTTCCAATTCTCAAACTGACTCTCTTTCCCTGAAGAGATCAACTGTCAACAGCTCCTCAGAAGCCCCGCCCCCAGAAGGGGCGTTCCTGGGGGGGGGGCAGCTGTCTACTCAAGGTCCACAGGCAGCGCATGCGCGGGTGGGCGGGGCTGTATGCAGGGGGAGTCAAGGAGACCCCTGTTAAGCTTCTGGGCTCCTTCAACATCAGGGAGCCTCAACCTCTCCCCAGCCGCCTCCAAGGAGCTGCCGCCTATTGTCGGTCACCGCCTAGGCGCGGAGCTGCTCGGACTTGGCCACCGGTGAGCCCGGGGAGCCGACCGGTGAGGGCTCAAGGGAGTTGAGGGAAGTCTGAACGTGAGGAGCGGTCGCGTGCAATGGCGTCTCTGCCTCGGTTGTCCGCGGCCATGCGCGAGATACAGGACCCGGGTCAGGCGAGAGCAACGCGTGTGGTGGACCCTTTTCCCTAGCATCCGTGGCCCGGGGTGGGTGGCGCGGCCACTGATCCCAGCCTCCATGGATGCGCATTCTCCTGCGACCATCTTCAGTGGTTCCTGCTGGGATTTTCCTCTGAAGGACAGCTGCTCGGCGTGGACATCGCAGGAAAGAGCTCCCTGGTACAGTGGATCAGTCAGGTAAGCACTGCCTGCACTGGCAGTCTTAGGGCATTTTCCCACGCTTTCTCTGTGGGAGGGGGCGTGACCAATGCTCAGAAAACTGCATTAAGATCCTCAGCTGGGGCCCTAGTGAATACCCAGCTAGTAGCTGCTTTTGGTAAATAGAACTGGCGGGATGCATGAAACGATGTAGAAAACCCTGTTTTCTTCTAGTTGAGAAACTATCTACCCCCATTCCCACCCCATCTTGCCTCTGAAAGATTGGGTCACGCTAAGTTTTCAGACCCTACTGTGAATTCAGGAATTCACAAGGAAAATTGGATTTTAGTGTTCGGTCTTTGCTTTTCTACTTCATAATGAAGCTGTTTTGAGAGTTCATTGCCAAAGTCATGTTTTTTTTTTTTGTTTTTTTTTTTTTTTTTTTTTTTTGCTTACCACTGTCACTCCCTTATCCTCCCTATTTATTTCCAGAAGTCGCTCATTCATGTTTTTAAACCATTCCATTTTCCGGGTCTGGTGAAGTGCTCCAGCTTTTGAAAGGTCATTGTCTGTACAAGCGTCCCCATGAGCTGGGATGACTCTGATATAAATTGGTGTCATTTTGTACACCTTCATTTCTTGGGGATTTACAGACTGCATTAAGCACGTGCCTTCTTAAATTTGGGTTGCATTCATTCCCCTGCACCCGTTGACTGGAGTTATGCTGTGATATTGATTGTTTTAATTTCCGAAGAGGATCTAGCTAAAGTATCCTGTCATTCATATTGAAACAAAATAGTCATGTCATTTCATGTTCATTTCAGTTGCATCTCTTTGGCATCTGTTAAAGTTAAAGTTTTCTTTGAAAAATACTGCAAATGATATTTTGGTTTCTTTTTTTTTATTTTTCCATTCAAAAATTTCCACTTCCTCCCCTCCTCTCATTCCCCTCATGCTCCTCCACTCACTCTCCTCCCTTCCCCTCCAGTCTTTTATTTTTTTGAAAAAAATTTCTGCCTCCTCCCCGCCTCCCATTTTGCTCCCCCTCCTCCAACTCCTCTTCCCCTTCCCCCACTCCATTCCCCCTCCCTCTCGAGTCTGAAGAGCAGTCTGGATTCCCTGCCCTGTGGGAAGTCCCAGGTTCTTCCCCCTCCATCCAGGTCCAGGAAGGTGAGCATCCAAACAGGCTAGGCTCCCACAAAGACAGTTCATGCAGTAGGATCGAAACCTAGTGCCATTGTCCATGGCTTCTCATCAGCCCTCCTTGTCCTCCATGCTCAGAGAGCCTGGTTTTATCCCATGCTTATTCAGTCCCAGTCCAGCTAGCCTTGGTGAGCTCCCAATAGATCAGCCCCACTGGCACAGTGGGTGGGTGCAACCCTCGCAGTCCTGACTTCTTTGCTCATGTTCTCCCTCCTTCTGCTCCTCATTTGGACATTGGGAGCTCAGTCCGGTGCTCCAATGTGGGTCTCTGTCTCTACCTTCATCCATCGCCATATGAAGGTTCTATGGTGATATGCAAGATATTCATTAGTATGGCTATAGGATAGGGTCATTTCAAGTTCCCTCTCCTCAGTTGCCCAAGGTACTAGCTGGGGACATCACCCTGGACACCTGCAAGCCCCTCTAGAGTAAAGTCTCGTGCCAACCCTAAGATGGCTCCCTTAATTAAGATATATACTTCCCTGCTCCCATATCCACCTTTCCTTTATCGCAAACATCCCATTCCCCCAACATTCCCCCATCCTCCCCTTCTCACTTTTATCACCCCATTTCCCCTTACCCCCATCCCACCCCACACCCAAGTTCTCAGTTTTTGCCCGGCAATCTTGTCTACTTCCCATATCCAGGTGGATGACTATATGTTTTTCTTTGGGTTCACCTTCTTACTTAGCTTCTCTAGGCTCATGAATTATAGGCTCAATGTCCTTTATTTATGGCTAGAAACCAATTATGAGTGAGAATATCCCATGTTCATCCTTTTGGGTCTTGGTTACCTCACTCAGGGTAGTGTTTTCTATGTACATCCATTTGCATGCAAAATTCACGAAGTCATTGTTTTTTACCACAGCGTAGTACTCTAATATGTATATATTCCACACTCTCTTCATCTATTCTTCCATTGAAGGGCATCTAGGTTGTTTCCAGGTTCTGGCTTTAACAAATAAAGCTGCTATGAACATAGTTGAACAAATGCTTTTGTCATATGATAGGGTATCTCTTGGGTATATTCCTAAGTGTAGTATTACTGGGTCTTTGGGTAGGTTGATCCCGAATTTGGTGAGAAACCCCCACACTGCTTTCCAAAGTGGTTGCACAAGTTTGCATTCTGACCAGCAATGGATGAGTGTACCCCTTTCTCCACAACCTCTCCAGCAAAGGCTATCATTGGTGTTTTTTTATTTTATACATTCTGACAGGTGTAAGATGGTATCTCAAAGTTGTTTTGATTTGCATTTCCCTGATCACTAAGGGGGTTGAGCATGACCTTAAGTGTCTTTTGGCTTTTTGAACTTCTTCTGTTGAGAATTCTGTGTTCAGTTCAGTGCCCCATTTTTAATTGGGTTAATTAGAGTTTTAAAGTCTAGTTTCTTGAGTTCTTTGTATATTTAGGAGATCAGACCTTTGTCAGTTGCGGGGTTGGTGAAGATATTCTCCCAGTTAGTAGGTTGCCTTTTGTCTTAGTGACAGTGTCCTTTGCTTTACAGAAGCTTCTCAGTTTCAGGAGGTCCCATTCATTCAATGCTGCTGGGGTTAAACGTAGGAAGTGGTCTCCTGTGCCCATGTGTTGTAGAGTACTTCCCACTTTCTCTGAACTGAACAGAGAATTCTCAACAGAAGAAGTTCAAATGGCCAAAAGACACTTAAGGTCGTGCTCAACTTCCTTAGCAATCAGGGAAATGCAAATCAAAACAACTTTGAGATATCATCTTACACCTGTCAGAATGGCTAAAGTCAAAAACACCAAGGATAACCTTTGCTGGAGAGGCTGTGGAGGAAGGGGTACCCTCATCCATTGCTGGTGGGAATGCAATCTTTGCAACCACTGTGGAAGTCAGTGTTTTGGTTCCTCAAGAAATTCGGGATCAACCTACCCCTGGATCCAGCAATACCACTCCTGGGAATATACCCAAGAGATGCTCTATCATATGACAAAAGCATTTGTTCAACTATGTTCATAGCAGTATTATTTGTAATAGCCAGAACCTGGAAACAACCTAGATGCCCTTCAATGGAAGAATGGATGAAGAAAGTATGGAATATATACACACTAGAGTACTACGCTGCGGTAAAAAACAATGACTTCGTGAATTTTGCATGCAAATGGATGTACATAGAAAACACTACCCTGAGTGAGGTAACCCAGACCCAAAAAGATGAACATGGGATGTACTCGCTCATAATTGGTTTCTAGCCATAAATAAGGGCCACGGAGTCTACAATAAGTGAACCTAAAGAAGCTAAGTAAGAAGGTGAACCCAAGGAAAAACATATAGTTATCCTCTTGGCTAAGGGAAGTAGACCAAATTGCGGGGGAGAAAATTGGGATCTTGGGGGTGGGGTGGGATGGGGGTAAGGGGAGATGGGGAGAGAAAAGGTAGAAGTGAAGCAGGGGGGACTTGGGGAAACAGGAGAATTGGGATAAAGGAGGGGTGGATAGGGGAGCACGGAACCACAATTCTTAGTTAAGGGAGCCACTTTAGGGTGGGCAGAGCACTGTTACTAATCCTGCTTTGGTGTCTTTCGTGCAGTGTGGAGAGCATCACACTCAGCCTGAGGCCTTTCATCATGGTGGATCCACTATTTCAGCTTTCCTCTGCCAATGGATCATCAAACTTTTGCCAGTAGCCTGATGAGTGCATTCTCTAAGTGCACCTGGGACAGTTTTCTACATCTAAGCCTATGGCTTCTATGACTGTACTCTTATACCAAATCCTACACTGTAGCCTGCCCTGAAGGTTCATCTGTGTGTGTTTTCAAACACTTGTACTTTGGGAACATGATGTTTTCTCATTTACATTTATCCTAACATGACTTCTCAGGAATATTTAATTGCTCATATTGATGAATAGAGTGATTTTAGGGAAGGAACAATAAGTTTCTGGGCACTATTTGAAAAGCATAGCTCATTTCTCAAAAAGAAAGTACTATGGGCTTTCCAATCAAGCTAAGGGAATGCTATCTTTAGAATGAAGAATTACTGAATATCTTCTCCTGTGTTCCATGAGAGGCTCCTGGAAAGGGAACCTGGGCTTCTGGTCATTTCAGGAAAGCTAATTTACACGGTGGCAAAGGCTGTTCCCCATGACATCAGCAGTTTCTTCTCTGCACAATCTATTGTATCCTGGAAAGCTCCTGGAATCCCATGATGCCACCAGTGATGTTGCAATACCAGCTGCCCTTAGGCCATTCCTTCAGTGCCTGTAGGGTACACAATTAGAGATGTTGTCAAGACTGAGGAGTCTACTTTGGAGAGAGAATGGTGATCATCATCCAGAAAGAAGAGAGTTGCAGAAGAGTAAACAAGATCAAACGAATGGCTCTGGATAGAAACAGTGAGTCCTGGGCAGGAGATGTTGAGTTTCCTGGAGGAGGTGGGCCTTCCAGTAATGGGGCAGAGGAGCTAGAGACTCTGAGATGCAAATGGGCTCTCCTGTTTATCATAACTACTAAAAGTCAAGGATTCCAGAACATTAGTTTGTCCATTCCCTAATCTAGGAGCTGACCATGCCAAAACTGTTATGTGGGAGTATCTAGCTTCTACATTTACTGGGGTTTGGGGACAGAAGGAGAACAAACAGCAGGAGGCAGGGAGGCACTAATGTGTCCCCACCTTAGGACATGCCTTACTGCACCTCACACTCAGCAGCTTCCTTTAGGTTCAGTGGCTCTCTGACACTAGTCACATGGAGAGAAAAGTGCTTCTGGCTAAGGCATTGTGTCCTCAGACTGTACAGCAGAATTCCTCTGACCACCTCTCCCTGAGAGTGGCCCACTTAGGGTTCTGATCAGCAGTTGAGGGGGGCAGCAAATTCTCTAGCGTAGCCAAACAACTCTCAGAGGCATGGGACTACGGCAGAGATCGACTCTTTGATGCCAACTTCCGTGTTCTGGACTGTCAGTGGGGTGACTTAGTGAGTCTACTGATCATGTTCTGCTCCTGCATGACTTTTCATTTCACAACCCTTCCAGGCAGGAGATCTGGGCTCCTCACAGTACCTGTGAGGTTGTGCACTCTGTTATTCCATTTTTTTTTTTTCTGAAACCACAGTCAGGGCCCTGGGCCATGTTGCATCCTGTCCTGCTATGAATAAGCTTGAAGAGGTGGTCTCTGTTTTCACCTGAAACATGTGTAGGGAAGCAGAGAAAATCCCTGGCTTCTTATGTAGCCACATCTCTACATAGTAATGGGAAAGATTACATTCACAGAGGGTCCAACTCAACCGGGCCAAAAAATTTGGTTTGTCACTTGGTTCCAAACTTGATCTTTCTGTTTGGGCCTCAGGGTGGTCTGTCTGTCCTCTATGCCTTGTCCTGTGCAGTTTCACTTGTGTTCTGTCTAACCACAGATGCTGCTATGGTGCCAAAATCCCACCCAGTGCTCCTCACCAAGAAGCAGATGAAGCAGGAAGTGGAGAGGCTGACCACAGAACTGCAGCTGATCACCAGCCAAAGAAATGAGCTGCTAGATCGCCCAACCTTCATCAGTGAAGATACCATGGAAAATAGGTGTTCATTGTTTCAGTCTTCATGGGACCTTCAGCAATGTCACCCTAACCTTTTTCCTTTAAGGTTTTGGGTTCTCAGTACCGGACCTCCAGTGTGACCCATGTCTTAAATTCTTCTCAAGAGAGGCAGACCTGAAGCTTGAGGGGAGGGAGATGGTGACTCTAGCTAGTCTTCTTTCTCTAAATGAAAACCAGAGCCTGTGGTCTGAGTCACACAACTAAGGGATTGATATAGTACTATGCACTTCCTCGATCCCTGAGTGCATTTGGGAAGGACCTGACAGGTGGTGGCTTGGGTGGATACTAGCTGCTGTGAGTTTGTGTGAGTCTTTGAACTTGCCTGAAAGCTGATTGTGTACTGGAAGCTCCTGGTAGAGGCTGGAGAGACCCGTTCCCACTTTGTCCATCTGTGTGCATAACTATAAGTCCTGGGGCTCATCACAGTTTCTTTCTGGCTTTGTGTCTCATACTCTTAGACAATAATGCTCCGTGAATAATTTCTTTAGCATGCAAACATGGTTCTCTCTCTCTCTCTCTCTCTCTCTCTCTTTCTCTCTCTCTCACTCTCTCTGTCTGTCTTCCTTTTTTCCCCTCTCTGCTTCCTCTCCCTAATGTGTTTGTGATTTTATTTGTTTGTTTGTGTGCACGCGCACGCACATGCATTTTCAGGTTTTTGTGTCTATAGAGACTCTGGGATTCAGGGATCTGTAAGGGACATGATGATTTGCCTGCACCGATTTCCTGGTGTTGCTAGTGCTGAGATCAGAAAACCCCACTTTAAGCAGCATAGCTCTTGTCCTACATACTCCCCTTCATGACCCCTAGGCATCCCTTGTGGGAGTTCATATCACTATCCTGTGTAATAGTCACAGGGGACCTAGAATCGCTGTTCCGAAGTGGGAAAAATGTCATTGTAATATTGGTGTGGCAAGACGTGTAGCATAAATCCCGGTAACATAGAGAGCTACACTGAGTCTCTAAGCATACTCAGAGAACACATGCAACCATGGCATCCTCCATCTGTGAAGCCAGCTGATCTAGTGCCAAGATAACAAGTTTAAAAGCACCAGGAGGTCCCTGTACATAGGATGCAGAATGTGGCATTCACTGGACTGTGGTAGACCTGGATACAAAATGAGTTCTCATGATCCTTGAAGCCTCCGTTCACAAGGTTCTTTCCTCCTGTTTCTAGGCCCTACCACAAGCCATATCCTTTCTATGAAAAGCTGAATTGGAGCATGTACAGGTCATGTCAGAACTAAGGACCTTGGAAGTTGATTACACTGAGACCTCAGAGAAGTTCAGTGAGCTGACCAAGGAGACAGTTTTCTATCAGTAAGTGCCCATCTTGGCATGGACCCCAAAAGTTGTGAAATGGCCATCATTGCCTTCATTTTTCTCTGGATTCAGCGTCCGCAACTCCGGGTCTAGCCTTTCCGCTTCTTAGCAAGCAGCTCTAGCATGCATCTCTTGAACTTTTGTCTCTTGGACCTAATATTCCTACATGTGAAAGAGATTCTTAACTGGAGGCAGGGGTTCCTGGAGGCAGGGGTGGCAGTAGAATGCTGGCAGGATCTTACTATGCAGAGCATCTCTAGCAGTCTGCACAGCTGGCTCCTAGGGGAGCTGACTCAACTGGAGAAGTTGCACATGCTGAGGCAGGAGAAAAAGAAACTGCTGGATAACTAGGTGACTGGCCTCCTACTGAAGCACCACTTGGAGGACTTGAATGTGATCTGTGAGGACCGAGAGGAAGAGACTAGTGGCCTCAAGACCCAGCAACAAGATGTAGGTGCAGACAAATAAATCAGGGTAAAGTTGGGCACCTTTTGCCCATTTGACTGCCTCTCTACTTATTTAACCACCTGTGCTTTCACCCATCACCTTACTTATCCATGTTCCCATCCAGCCACCCACCTCATGCTACCTGGGGTGTTCATTTCAGTGTTCATGCACAAGTACTTCTGGGGCGTTAGCCTCTCTTGAGAAACTGAATTATTGGCAAGCCATCCCTGAGTCTCTGTTTGGAGTTGCAGTCCAGTGAAGGAGATGGGTCAATAACATATAATACACCCACATGTCATTATGATAGGTAGCATTCTGTGCACAGAGCTTTGAGTAAGTGAGTTCCTGGTCCTGGGGCTCATTCACTCAGCAGGGCTCTTGTGAGATCACACATGGGCAGCAGTTTGCAAGGAGGAAATCCCCATGCACATGCCAAATGAGTGCTTCTCGCAGTCATGGATGTGGTTGACATGCGGCCCTCTCCTTTCTTCCTGCATCCCAATATTTTCTCTTCCCATTGCCCAGCTCTTGGTTTACAGTAATAGAAATTGAATAGCAGTTTGTCAGCCTCTTTTCTGTGAGTGGTGCTGGACAGTTCTGCCATCCAGCTGTATATAGTCTGGGGTTATTGGATGATCTGCTGTGGGCTTTTGACAAGCTGGTGGTGGATGGGGTGAGACTTGGGCTTTAGGAGGAGAATTTTCTAACTAGTTCAACACAGTCTGGTCAAGATTATCATATTTTTTTTTTTTACTATTTTCCCAATTGTATTACACTGACTTTTATTAATTCTTTTTTTTTAATTGCGAAAAGAAGAAAAAAAACATAAACAAAAAATAAGTTTCCACCTCCTCCCAGCCTCCCATTTCCCATCCCCTCCTCCCACCCTTCTCCCCCTCCTCGCACCCTTCTCCCTCTCCTCCTACCCTTCTCCCCCTCCCCCCACTCCTCTCCCCCTCCCTCTCCAGTCCACAGAGCAGTCCGGGTTCCCTGCCCTGTGTTAAGTCCTAGGTCCACCCCCCTCCGTCCATATCTAGGAAGGTGAACATCCAAACTGGCTAGGCTCCCACAACGCCAGCACATTAAGTAGGATCAAAACCCCCTGCCATTGTCCTTGGTGTCTCATCAGCCCTCATTGTTCGCCATGTTCAGAGAGTCCGGTTTTATCCCATGCTTTTTCGGTCACAGTCCAGCTGGCCTTGGTGAGCTCCCTGTAGATCAGCTCCACTGTCTCAGTGGGTGGATGCACGCCTCGTGGTCCCGAATTCTTTGCTCATGTTCTCCCTCCTTCTGCTCCTCCTTGGGACCTTGGGAGCTCAGTCCAGTGCTCCTGTGTAGGTCTCTGTCTCTATCTCTATCCATCACCAGATGAAGATTCTATGATGATATGCAAGATATTCGTCAGTATTGCTCTAGGATAGGGTCATTTCAGGTTCCCAATCCTCAGCTGCCCAAGGAACTAACTGGGAACCTCATCTTGGGCACTAGGGAGCCCCTCTAGGGTCAAGTCTCTTGCCCACCCTAAAGTGGCTCCCTTAACTAAGAATTGTGGTTCCGTGCTCCCCTATCCACCTTTCCTTTATCCCAATTCTCCTGTTTCCCAGGTCCCCCCTCCTTCCCTTCTACCTTTTCTCTCCCCATCTCCCCTTACCCCCATCCCACCCCCCCCCAAGATCCCATTTTCTCCCCGGAAATTTGGTCTACTTCCCTTAGCCAAGAGGACAACTATATGTTTTTCCTTGTGTTCACCTTCTTACTTAGCTTCTTTAGGTTCACCTATTGTAGACTCCGTGGTCCTTATTTATGGCTAGAAACCAATTATGAGTGAGTACATCCCATATTCATCTTTTTGGGTCTGGGACACCTCACTCAGGATAGTGTTTTCTATTTCCATCCATTTGCATGCAAAATTCGAGAAGTCATTGTTTTTTACCGCAGCGTAGTACTCTAGCGTGTATATATTCCATACTTTCTTCATCCATTCTTCCACTGAAGGGCATCTAGGTTGTTTCCAGGTTCTGGCTATTACAAATAATACTGCTATGAACATAGTTGAACAAATGCTTTTGTCATTTGATAGAGCATCTCTTGGGTATATTCCAGGGGTAAGTTGATCCCGAATTTCCTGAGAAACCGAAACACTGACTTCCACAGTGGTTGCACAAGATTGCAAGGAATATCATATTTTTAACAATAGTATTTCTCCCCAGGGAATTATGTGTGAGTTGTGAGATTCTTTTGAAAGGTTGGGTGTGGTTAGTCTGAACTGAAAATGTGTGTTGTTGGAGGCTGCTTGTTCATTTCCCAACTGCCCTGACTCAAAACAGCCACACAGAATCTATATTATTTGCAATACTGTTTGGCCAATAGCTTAAGTATATTTCTGACTAACTTTTATATCTTAATTATCCCATTTCTATTAATCTGTGTATCACCACATGGCTTTGGCTTACCAGCAAGTTGCCAGTGCATTTGACTCCTGTGGGGGGATACATGATTTTTCTCTGCCTCTGCCTATTCTCTCTCTTTCTCTCTTTCTGCTGGGCTTTACTCTGTTAAGCCATTCAGCGAAAATAGCTTCTTTGTTAACCAATGGCAATAAAACAGATTAACAGCATACAGAAGGGAATCCCACATTACCTCCCCATTTCTGTTCAATTAAAAAGGAAGGTTTTAACTTTAACATAGCAAGATTGCATACAACAAAACAGTTTTCAAGACTTATAGTTACAATATTTATATCTACTTTCTCTTTTATTATAACTAATGAACACTATAATTGTAACTACTTATTCTTCAATTCCTTCAAAGACATCAAAGAGTTCAGAAGGATATATTACATAAGTAAGCAGGAAGTGCATTGTAAGCAACTTCTGAAATTCCAGAATTGACAGAGACATCTCGTTGCCTGGACAGTCATGAAAATTTCTTCTGTAACTTTGAGGCATACCATTTTCAGACCACAGGCACATAGTATCTGGTAGACTTTTCCATGAAGCAGGAAATTTCCAAGACAGTTCCACGTATATTGGTAGTTTGTCAGTCACGGTCTTCTGTATCCTGCAGAATGTCTGGCAGACTTGTTCATGACACAGGCACCCAGAAAGACCATCTTACATTCTTCAGACAACTTCAGTAGTCATTTTTCTTTGGGTTCTGCAAGTCCAGTCAGGCAATTCAGGCAAGAGCAGTTTCTTGCCCTCATGATTAACAAACTCCATGAGGAGACTCTTTGATGTCCATCATCCTCTTAAAGTAGATTGGTGCTGCCAAGAGCAGATGTGTCATGAAAAGTTTTAAGTTTTTAAAACATTTTAAATGCCATATTCTGTTAGTCTTTGAAAGGTTTGAAGATTATCTATCTAACTGAAATATATCTCTATATATCTAGATAGCCTAACTAACATGATGACATTCTTGATCATTGAAGATGACTATTATTCGCCTATATTTCTTAATTATACACTACATTTTTAAATGAGCTGCACAAACACAACACTTTAATCAAGAGCATAAATGTACAAATAACAAAACTGACCTAAAATTTGTATCATTGAACAAAGATCTATACCAATGCAAAGTACCCGTCTCTGTAGAGTATCCCCCTATAAATGTAAACACCTTTATAAACAATCATTTAGGGAATTTGGATGTAGTTCTCTCCACTACTTCCTGCTTTTTGTTGGGTGAAGTAATTTTGAAGGGTGTTCACAGTAACTTTTTGGGGGATCTTGGTCCACCAAACCACATTAGTCTGGAAAGAATCCACAAGTTCTCATCCTCTGTGGAAACAAAAGAATCTCTTTTCCAAGACAACAAATCTTGAGACCCAAGTTTGAAGTCAAGATACCTTTAAAATATATATGTTGGTTTACCTTAGCAGTCTGTACAATGAAATAGCTCTGTGTAGTTAGCTCATTCACAGTCAAAAATTCAGAGAAAACACAGTAATATACATAATCCAAAATCTCTGTGTATATTCTATCTTTATGTGGCTTATTTTTATTACTCCTTTTATCTATGACTCTCTGTAGTCTATCTCCTTAAAAGCTTTTTATAACCATTTATTTCCTTTTGTAACTGAATATATTTTTTATTCCAACACTGTGACCCATTTAGAGTTCATTTTCATCTGAATTTGTCTTTATTGTGTATATGTAATCCTTTTCTTAAAATGCAAAGTGGTGTGTCTAGCCCTAAGGCTGCTTTGCCTTTTGGCTCCACCTAATCCAAATGGCAGAGATCCATTCAGTGCATCCGAGACTACCGGGTGGGAGCCATGCTCACAGCCTCAACTCTAGTAACCTGTTGGCCCATGTAGCCACCAAATAACTTGCAGCACACTGCTCACAAACCCTGTTCAAGTGCTTGGCCTCCTGAAAGGGCCAGAGATCATGCTGACAACACACACCAGGAAGCCTCCTTTCAGAAACCCCAGTATTTTTGCTACTACCAAATAAAGAAAACCTCTTATAAAGGAATCACAGTGCTCTCACTCCCCTCCAACAAACACAGCCCATCCAAAAAATGCCAGCTACCAAGAAGCCATTCTTATCTCTTTTCCTTTGTGTCTAGAATTCATTTTCAAGCTTCTCAGGTTTTACAAGGATGTAATCAGCCCCACATTGGCACAGCAGTCTGTTGTTGGAGGCTGCTTGTTCATTTTCAGACTGCCCAGACTTGAATTAATCACACAGAAACTATATTATTTGCAATACTATTTGGCCAATAGCATAAGTGTATTTTTGGTTAAATCTTAAATTAACCTATTTCTATTAATCTCAGAATTGCCATGGTGATGTAGCTTTCTGGTAAGTAAGGTTCTGGTATGTCTGTTCTGGGGACATCTAAATATCTTTTCCTTGACTCCACCCACCTCCTTTCTGTATATAGCTCATCAAGCCTGGCTTTGCACTGTTAAGCTATTGACAGAAAACATCTTCTTTATTAACCAATGGCAATAAAATATATTAAAAGCATACAGAGGGGAATCCCACATTAGATGTCCTCTTCTGCCATGATATTTCTTTCTATTATCTTTCTTTTTTCCTCCTTTCCTACCTCCATATCTCTCTCTCTCTCTCTCTCTCTCTCTCTCTCTCTCTCCCTTTGTGTGTATGTGTGTGTGTGATTGTGTGTTGCATGGTGATAGTAGTAGTAGTATAAGTATTTAGGTGATCTTGTGTGTCATGCATGTGTGCGATTGGCTAAAGGAGACTACTCTGTTTCTGATCAGTCTCTAAATTGAATCTGGGTTTCTAACTCTCCTGGGTGCTTTTACTGTTTTGTCTACCTAGCTGGCCAGCAAGCTATTTGGATCTTTCGTATGTGCCTAGAGATGTATGATGGTCTGTGACCCTCCACTAACAACACAGTCTTCTAATGAACTGGAGCTCAAGAGATTGGAGGAAAGTCTTCAGTTGCTGTGGAGGCAGAAGGAAATGCCCATGCAGGAAAAGGACTTGGCAGAAAAGCTACAGCATCACTTTGAATTCTCCCAGCTGAGGTAGGAACCCAGAATTGGGGAGGAAGTAGAGCCCAGAGGGTCCCTTTTACCTGGGATCTCTGTCTTTTATAGTCTTCTGCTCACATGTATGGTTTCCAACTAGAAACAGGGAAAAAATACCTATGAGAATTGTCCTGGTCCAATCAACAAGAAATTCTGTCCAGAAAACAATATATTTGATACTCAGTGTGTCTCCAGAATTGAGTCTCCCTTCCTCCCTTCTGAACTCTCTATGTTCTGAGCAGAAGTTTCTTGAACTGGCAGTGATCTGCCTGCTTCAGCTCCAAAGTAATGGAATTGAAATGTATGTACCACCACACCTGGCTGAAATAACACTTTTATTTAGGAACATCCCTTGTGGAGACGAGAATTCTACCTTTGAACTTTGTTTTCTGCAATATTACCCATTTCCTGTGCAAAGTGTTCTCTGAATAGAATAGGTTAAGAACTTTCCAGGATGACACAGGCAGATGCCTCAGCTGCAGGTAAGACCAGAACCTTCTCAGAGTATGCTGTTACAGATTCCGAAAGAGAGCCAGGATGGAGGTTACCAGCTCTAGTCCTAAGGAAATCGTAAATTTCTGCTTGGTTCCAGATCCCTGGCAGGACCAGGGTTATCAGGCACACATCTCAGGAAATGCTGCTCTAGCATGAGAGTCTCTATCCTGCATGATGTTCATGTTCAGTTGTTTCCTGGACATGAGAACTCAGCTAGCCTCATGACCTTGTTTAGCTTCCTAGATGGCAAGGCTTTATTATGGCTATCAATAAAATGATATAGTTGATCAGTAACTCATCATCAATAACAATTGTATTGCTCATATACTCTTGGACGTGGTATTAATAACCTGTTGCTATTTACAAAATGATTTTTCTGAACTTTAGGAGAATGTCCTATTCATTCAAGTAGAAAGACCACTATACAGTGTTTAAAATATGACATATTTAGGACTGAAAAAATGCTAGGCCTAGCTACTATGTGATCCTTTTCCTTTGAGGATAAAAAGAATGATATCACTTCAAAGACCAATGTTGATTGTTCAGGCCACGTACGGTGGTGGAAGGTGATAGCTAGACAGTTGAAATGCCATGTCTTCTCACGTGTGTTCTAATTGCTTTCATCTCCCACCACCTAGCTAGCTTAACCCCCAAAATAACCACACATATATGTATTAATTAAATTACTGCCTGGCCCATTATTTTTAGCCTCTTATTGGCTAACTCTAACATCTTGATCTAACCCATTTCTATTAATCTGCGTTCACCACGAGGTCATGGCTTACCTGGAAAGATTTAGCATGTCTGACCTGGAGGCTCCATGGCAGCTCTCCCTCCCTGCCTTTTTTTTCCCAGCATTCAGTTCTCTTTGGCCTGCCTATCTAAGGCTGCCCTATCCACAGGCCAAAGCAGCTTCTTTATTCAACCAATGAAAGCAAAACATAGACAGAAGAACCTCCTATACCATTTCCCCTTTCTCTGTTTAAACAAAAAAGAAAGGCTTTCTTTTTAACATAGTAAAATTACATATGACAAAACAGTTATCAAGCATGAATTACAATTACAATATTTAGATCTATTTTATCTTTTATAAAACAAAGAAAAACGATAACTATAACTATCTATTCTTCAACTCCATCAAAGACTCCAGAAGGATATAATATTACTTAAGTAAACAAGAAGTAAGCAACTTCTAAAACTCTGGAAATGACAGAAACATCTCGCTTCGTGGAATGTCACCCAAAGTTTTTCTGTATCATTGGAACATCCATCTTTGGCCTTGAGGTGTATAGTATCCATCAGACTTTTCTATGAAGCGGGAAATTTCAAAGACAGTTCAGTCACTTTCTTTTATATCTGCAGAATATCTTATAGACTCTTTCATGAAGCAGAAACCCCGAAGGACCATCTCAACTTTAGGCAAGTTTAACAGTCCTCTCTCTCTCTATTGGTTCTTAATTTTTTATTGAGAAAAAGAGAAAAAAAACCTTTCTGCCTCCTCCCAGCCTCCCATTGCCCTCCCCCTCCTCCCAACCTTCTCCCCCTACCCGCCTCCTCTCCCCCTCCCTCTCCAGTCCAAAGAGCAGTCAGGGTTCCCTGCCCTGTGGAAAGTCCAAGGTCCTCCCGGCTCCGTCCATGTCTAGGAAGGTGAACATCCAAACTGGCTAGGCTCCCACAGCCAGACCATGAAGTAGGATCAAAACCCAGTGCCATTGTCCTTGGCTTCTATCATCCCTCATTGTTCGCCATGTTCAGAGAGTCCGGTTTTATCCCATGCTTTTTCAGTCCCAGTCCAGCTGGCCTTGGTGAACTCCCAATAGCTCAGCCCCACTGTCTCAGTGGGTGGGTGCACCCCTCGTGGTCCTGACTTCCTTGCTCATGTTCTCCCTCCTTCTGCTCCTCATTGGGACCTTGGGAGCTCAGTCCGGTGCTCCAGTGTGGGTCTCTGTCTCTATCTCCATCCATCGCCAGATGAAGGTGCTATGGTGATATGCAAGATATTCGTCAGTATTGCTATAGGATAAGGTCATTTCAGGTTCCCTATCCTCAGCTGCCCAAGGAACTAACTGGGGACATCGCCTTGGGCTCCTGAGAGCCACTCTAGGTTTAAGTCTCTTGCCAACCCTAACGTGGCTCCCTTAACTAAGATTTGTGCTTCCCTGCTCCCCTATCCAACCTTCCTTTATCACAATCATCCTGTTTCCCCAAGTTTCCCCCATCCTCCCCTTCTCACTTTTCTCTCCCCATCTCCCCTTACCCCCATCCCCCCCACCCCCAAGATCCCAATTTTTTCCCAGGCAATTTTCTCTACTTCCCATAGCCAGGAGGATAACTATATGTTTTTCTTTGGGTTCACCATCTTATTTACCTTCTTTAGTATCACCAATTATAGACTCCGTGACCTTTATTTATGGCTAGAAACCAATTATGACTGAGTACATCCCATGTTCATCTTTTTGGGTCTGGGTTACCTCACTCAGGATAGTGTTTTCTATTTCCATCCATTTGCATGCAAAATTCGAGAAGTCATTGTTTTTTACCGCAGCGTAGTACTCTAATGTGTATATATTCCACACTTTCTTCATCCATTCTTCCATTGAAGGGCATCTAGGTTGTATCCAGGTTATGGCTATTACAAATAATACTGCTATGACCATAGTTGAACAAATGCTTTTGTCATATGATAGGGCATCTCTTGGGTATATTCCCAAGAGTGGTATTGCTGGGTAAGGGATAGGTTGATCCCGATTTTCCTGAGAAACTGCCACACTGATTTCCAAAGTGGTTACACAAGTTTGCATTCCCACCAGCAATGGATGAGTGTAACTCTTCCTCCACAACCTCTCCAGCAAAGGCTATCATTGGTGTTTTTTATTTTAGCCATTCTGACAGGTGTAAGATGATATCTCAATGTTGCTTTTATTTGCATTTCCCTGATTGCTAAGGAGGTTGAGCATGACCTTAAGTGTCTTTTGGCGATTTGAACTTCTTCTGTTGAGAATTCTCTGTTCAGTTCAGTGCCCCATTTTTAATTGGGTTAATTAGAGTTTTAAAGTCTAGTTTCTTGAGTTCTTTATATATTTTGGAGATCAGACCTTTGTCTGTTGCAGGGTTGGTGAAGATCTTCTTTCAGTCAGTAGGTTGCCTTTTTGTCATAGTGACAGTGCCCTTTGCTTTACAGAAGCTTCTCAGTTTTAGTAGGTCCCATTTATTCAATGTTGCCCTTAATGTCTGTGCCGCTGGACTTATACATAGGAAGCGATCTACTGTGCCCATCTGTTGTAGGGTCCTTCCCACTTTCTCTTCTATCAGGCTCAGTGTATTCGGACTGATATTGAGGTCTTTGATCCATTTTGACTTGAGTTTTGTGTATGATGGGTATATTTTCATTCTTCTACAGGTTGACATCCAGGTGTGCCAGCACGATTTGTTGAAGATGCTTTCTTTCTTCCATTGTATACTTTTAGCTCCTTTATCGAATATGAGGTGTTCATAGGTTTGTGGGTTAAAATCAGGGTCTTCTATACGATTCCATTGGTCGACTTCTCTGTTTTTATGCCAATACCAAGGTGTTTTCATTACTGTAACTCTGTAATAGAGTTTGAAGTCAGGGATGGTAATGCCTCCAGAAGTTCCTTTATTGTATAAGATTGTTTTGGCTATCCTGGGTTGTTTGTTTTTCCATATAAAGTTGATTATTGTCCTCTCAAGATCAGTGAAGAACTTTGATGGGACCTTGATGGGCATTGTATTCAATCTATAAATTGCCTTTGGTAGAATTGCCATTTTTACTATGTTGATCCTCCCAATCCAAGAGCAAGGGAGATCCTTCCATTTTCTGGTATCCTCTTCAATTTCTTTCTCCAATGCCTTAAAGTTCTTGTCAAATAGATCTTTCACTTCCTTGGTTAGATTTACCCCAAGATATTTTATGCTGTTTGTGGCTATCGTGAATGGTGAAGTTTCTCTGATTTCCCTCTCTGCTTCCATATCCTTTGTGTATAAGAGGGCAACTGATTTTTTGGAGTTGATCTTGTATCCTGCCACATTACTAAAGGTGTTTATCAGCTGTAAGAGTTCTTTGGTGGAGTTTTTGGGGTCGCTTATGTACACTATCATATCATCTGCAAATAATCAAAGTTTAACTTCTTCCTTTCCAATTCAAATCTCCTTAATTCCCTTTTGTTGTCTTATTGCTATTGCTAGAACTTCAAGAACTATATTGAAGAGGTATGGAGAGAGTGAACAGCCTTGTCGTGTTCCTGAGTTAAGCGGGATGGCTTTGAGTTTCTCTCCGTTTAATTTGATGTTAGCTGTCGGCTTGCTGTAAATAGCTTTTATTATTTTTAGGTATGACCTTTGTATCCCTAATCTCTCCAAGACCTTTATCATAAAGGGGTGTTGAATTTTGTCGAATGCTTTTTCAGCATCTAATGAAAGGATCATATGGTTTTTTTTCTTTCAGTTTATTTATATGATGCATTACATTGATAGATTTTTGT